TTTTTAATTTTGCTTTATTTAATCGATTTTGTTTTTTTTTTGTATTCAGATGTGGATGAATTTTATAAGCAGTGTGATCCTGGTAAGGATATTTCTTTTTAAGTTATGGTCTCTGTTTTGGGTTATGAGTGGAATAGGGTTGAAAATTTTCTGTTTCTGTAATAATTTGTACTATGTTATATGCATATTGTTAAATTCGGTATTTAAACTCGATGAGTTCAACTTTTAAGGTTAAATTAAGTGCTTTTAAAATTAAGGGTTCCTTAAAAACTGGATACAGTTGTATATGCATAGTATATAAATTTTGGATTATCCATTTTATAAGAAAAATTTGACTCTCCTCCAATGATTGTGGTATGAAAACTCCATCCGCCTTTGGGTTTATGTATTTTCGGATATATGTCTTTTTTCTTTAGATAGACATTGAAAGATTTTGGACAAAATTGAATCAACGAATAAGAACATAAATTCCACCCTCCAATGATCATAGTATGTAAACTCCATCCGCCTTTGGACTCTTGGTGTATGTCTTTTTTTGTAGTTATTTGAAGTTGAAAGATTTTGGAGTAATATTGGGAGAGGCGGATCTAGGATTTCGAGAACCTATATACACTGCTAAACAAAGGGAAACAAAATATATATTAAGTTGGAACTGTTCCTCGTCATTATAGATAAATAGCTCAACGTTCAACCAAGTGTTCATTCAATGCTTTTGGAGCATGGATAGCAACAGATAATTCTAGAAAATTTGTTTGGCGAAGAGATATGGGTTCATGCAGGGGAGGAGCTACATGGTACTTATCGAACCTCCTTCGTCGGAAAACTACACTGTATATAGAACATCGATTTATTCACTTATGAGTATAATTTAATAGTGAACTACCTCAACATAAGCTAAAAGGCTTGTTTCAGTGGTAAACTGCGTTCAAGATTCGGTCAAATCTTCTCGGATACGAGAGTTCGAGTCCGGGTAGCATCGTTCTTTTTTTATCACATTTTAGCTTGCTGCTGCTACTTCCTGTGTTCTATCACATTTTATGCTGCTACTTCCTATGTTTTACTGTTCTTGTTGACCGAGTCCGGGTAGCATCGTTTTTTTTATCACATTTTAGCTTGCTGCTGCTACTTCCTATGTTTTACTGTTCTTGTTGACGTAGAATTGAATTTTATCTACTTAATTATATCCGACCTGATCCATTTATATCTGATCCGACCCGTTTATATGTGGGTAATATTAGCGTATTTACTTATTTTTTTGAACCCCTCAATGAAAATCCTGCCTCCACCACTGGGTTCATGTGCACACTATTTCTAGAGTAGAGCCACCCCTGAATATTGGATGATAGAGTAAGAACATCAATTCTACTCTCCAATAATCATTACATTGCTTTTAACATTATTCCATATCAGTGATCTTTTGTTCCTGTATCTAAATTTTTATATATGGAAAGATGAAATTCAAAACATTTTAGTCATTGTTAACCAGAACATAAAATTTCTTATAAAAAATCGTTATGATAAGGTAGATCTGGATATGATTGTTCTCATATCCACAGGCATCATAGGGAAATCTTTACCCCTCCTAGAAGCAGAATTAGAATCAAGTTCGTGCTTAGCTTAAAAGTAACAATTCTAATTCTAAGTCCTTGCTTTTGATTTGATAACTCCTTCCTTGTTTCAGCGGTGAAAAATAAGTATACATAGGATACTAAGCCTTACAGCTGTAATTAATGGTAGATATCGAATGAAGACTTTGTACGTCATGTTTTTGGAAGTGATATTTAGGGTATCAGAGTAATGTCATGATTGCTGGGCCTTCTTTTTATATTGAATACTCTATGTTGCTCGGACTCTTCAAAAATGTTGGTCAGTGCGTTTCAAAGGAGGATCTCACACGGGTGTGGCAGAATTTTGGAGAATCCGAGCAACATCTATTATAAGCTCCCTCCTCACCACACCTCCCTGTCTTCCTCCAAGTTTATTACAGTCAATATGTTTAATCTGTCTTATCTCAAATTGCTTATAACACAGTACTTCTATTTCTTCTTGTTCGTGGTCAAACATATCAACTGTTTTTTTTTACCTTTTTTATGTAGAAAAGGAGAACTTAAGCTTGTATGGACTCCCAAATGAGCGATGGGAGGTCAATCTGCCTGCTGAAGATTCACCACCAGGCCTTCCAGAGCCTGTTCTTGGTATCAACTTTGCTAGAGAGGGAATGGAACAAAAGGAGTGGCTTTCTTTTGTTGCTTATCACAGTGATTCTTGGTTGCTTGCTATTGCCTTCTACGCTGGTGCTAGATGTGGATTTGGTAAAGCCGACAGGTACTTCTTCTCACTTGAATTTCTTTTATGCAGCCAAAACATCTCCATGCTCGTAAAAGCATCTTTGTGAGCATGTCCTGATGATTGACAATATACGTTTAGCGATTCCGCCTGCTCCAGTACCTCATTTGATGTTTTTTTGTGTTGATTCTGCTTCTCAATGCATTAAAGTTTTTTCTCAATGCTCTCTGTTAAAAGCAGAAGTAATGCATCTGATTAATGTGTTTTAGGTTGGTAATATAATAGTACTTCTAGTATCGAGCTAACACTGCCCGTACAGCCGTGCCTATTACTAGCAAGAAAAGCTAAAAGCAGTAAGCTTGATTAATTTCAATTCATTGCATTTTGCACCTTTGGTGCACATTTTACTTTCTGGGAAAAATCATTTAAGTATTTTTTTGGTCCAAATCTGAATATTTTACTTTTTTAAAATTGAACTATTACCCTATGAAATGAATTTCTTTGCCGAAATTCCTAATAGCACCTCTAGTACTTAAGCAGAAACAATGGAGGATGTTCAGGATATAGAAGTCGTTAATTAGCTTTGTAAGTAATATATCCATTTTACTCCCTATAGAATGTTCATGTTTGAATGGAAACCTATTTTAGTCATTTTGTAAGAAGATAAGAAGTTCGGTAGCAAAAGTGAAAGGAAGGACAGGATGCAAACTGCAAAATATGCATAAAAAAAGAGGTGTGAAAAAAATGCAAATAGCTCGTTCAGTATTACCTTGAATATTAGCTTGCACTTCTTAAAATGAGCTGATAGAATCGCAAGGAGTGGCTGTTAACAGGTTAATAAGATTCAACTAGTTTGGTTTAGTAAAAAGAACATTAACGTGGTTTATTTAGTAGGGCTTGCTCTCAAATTAACGTTGATCATTGACCTCTGGGCTCTGGTTTCTTGACATTGTATGATGAACGTAACTCATGCTTGTCAAGCTGATATCTGAGTCGACCAACCAACAGCAACATTGAATGTATGGTTCAACTTAAATTCATCTCTGCACTTTCGTGTTTGTTATTTGTGAAATCGTTCATAATGGTGATTCTAATGAGAAGCCCTTGTTCTAGATTTTTTCGTATTGAACTTTGTGCATAGAGGATTAGTACATTCAGATTTCTATTAAGCTACCAGTGATAGTCTTTTGCTAGAAAATGTATAGACTGTGCCTCAATTGTGAGACAAGTCATTTTGCTTTAACACTTCATGACGTTTACTATGTTGTTGCTCATTAGTTGCCTTCTGTTTTCCAGGAAGAAGCTCTTTGACATGATAAATGATTTACCTTCAATACATGAAGTAGTGATTGGTGTTCCAAAGACGCAACAAAAAGAAAAACCTACAGTCGCTAATCAAAGTAAAAACAAATCCAAGCCAAACGCCACTAAGGTAAATAATTATGTTCCCAGAGTATGCTTTATTTGCATGTCAGCTCTGTGATACCTTTTTGCGAGTTGGTAAGACTTAAATGATGTGTTTGCAAGCATCCAGATATCAATCTTATGGTCATTTTTGGCAGATTTTGATTCAAATTATGCTTTAAAGTTCTGATTTTCTGGTATCTAGACTAGTTGTTGCATGAATAGCTTGTCTTAAACTAGCTTAAACCCTTCTACCACATTCTTTTTGAGCTATCGATGTTTTCTTTTCCACTTGATAAAACAGAGGGCAGCGGAGCCTCAGGATATGTTTACGAAGATGCAGCAAAAATATGAAGAAGATGATGATGATGATGATGACGACGACGAAGCAGGAGAAGAAGATGAGGATGAATGGGGTATTGAGATGGATGTTGAAGAGGAGGAAGGTGAGACACTGTGCGGCATATGTGAGGGGAAGTATGCGAAGGATGAATTTTGGATATGTTGCGATCATTGTGAAACATGGTTCCACGGCCAGTGTGTTAAGATCACCGCTGCCACAGCTGAGTATATGAAGCAATACAAGTGCCCGCCTTGCAGCAGCAAAAGAGCCCGGACTCACTTTACAGAATACTGATCAACAACAGTTCTCTTGCTGCTAACTGTCTATTCATGATGTTTTGCTAAAATGTCTGAAGTATGAAACTGAAGTTAGACTCTGTTAAGACTAACTTCAGTCGTTACGTCTAAAGTTGTCCCGAATTGAGTAGATGTACCAAAATTTTATAAATTTAGGACATTACTTAAACAGTGACACCAAAATTGTGTCTGTGTGTACTCCCCAACCCCACCCAATTTTAAACGTATTTATTTTTTAAACCACTTGTCTCGCTTTCATTAACTGTGTTTTTTAAATTTCGATTGATTAGGACAAAGTTTTTGATAATATTAAGACTTCTTTTAGAATATCCTGAACAGTTCCGGTAGGTAGGGTTGATGTTATTAAGAAATTAGTTGAATATAACAAGTGAAGCAATCAGTTTTTTTCCACTATATGATTTTTTAGAAAAAAAATAGAAGAAACGTGGTTGCTGATATAATAGTTACATATAGACAAGAGTTATATTAATAGAAATTTATGTATAATGGTCGGCCACTTGGGCTATCTGAATATTAAACAATGAGATAATCTACTAAATGTTGGATAATTACGTAGGCCCCCACCACATTTTCCTGTCTCGTTAAACAAGAAACAACTATCCTACTTTCAAACAAGTTGGGTTAGTTAGTATGAATTTCCACTAAACTCATGTTACAATGACATTTATTAGGAAGATCTGTCATAATAACATGAACCTCACTAATAGGATCTGAAGAAGGATAGGATATACACAAATTTTATTCCTATCTCAACAGATAAAAGGTATTATTTTCGATAAATACTCAACATACAAAAAGAAAAAAAGAAAAAAGAGAAGTAATAGAGGGAAGGAGACAACAAAATAACAATACACATAATCACTTTCTCTTTTTACTTATCTCTACCTCTCCTAGCTCCTATTCCCAAATTGACAAATTTTACACAGGTTTTCAGCCTACAACAACCCTCATCCGACAATATGAGCAACCTCAATCTGACTGAGTTCTTGTCACATTAAATCAAGAATAGATATGCTAAAACCTTTGTGCACGCAACATGTTCAAATCAACATCATGATCAGGCAGAATCTCATCTTCCATTGGTTGAGATTAGCTAAAAGTCAATTAAGCCCACTACAGATTCTCATCTTACTATTTGATCAGTGCCTGAGAAGGATAGCTTCCAACTATTTTGGCTCCATTCTCGAAAAAGTATAGTTCTTGAAGGAAGAAAAAGAAGTCTCACATCTGTAAGTAGACAAATTGCTCAGTACAACAACAGCAACATACCCACTTTAGTTCATTGAGATGAAGTAGAGTGTACACTGCTTATCCCTACCTCATTGAGATGGAGAGGCTGTTTCCGAAAGAACCGCGAGAGTTAAAACAAGCACAAGAGAAAGCATAGGGTAGCTTAACGGAAAGAGAAACAGTAACAACAGCCAAATAAGTTTAGTGAAGTGGACTATATATACAGATTCATACTTTGTACATTCATCATTCTTTTTGTTCTTGATTTAGGTTTTTTTTATGTCTAAACTCAGCATACTGATTCCTAAAAAAGGATCATTCAAAAAGAAAACTTATACATGGATCAAAGAGAGAAACATAAATCTAAGAAGAGTGACAGCTATCTATGGGGATGACTATGCCCAATTTTCTTGATTCTTTGTGGAGAGGCGTTTGAGGAATTCATAAGTAGTGATCATTGTGGTTGCAGACATGGACATTGAAGCCCATCGAGGGCCTAATCCTCTGTAACAAGCCATCCACCCACCTTCCTTTACTAAATTTCTTACCGTCTGAGCTACTGTTGGCCCTCTCCGTCCATTCTCATCGCCATCCAGGACCTGCAATCTTGTCTTGATTGTGTCTAATGGTGTTGTAATCAGCGCTGAAACACCTCCGGCCATGGCTGCACTCACTCCCTGAACCATCATAACAGTCTTCGAATCAGGCTTCAGAGTACTTTTGATGTTATCCTCAATTCTGTCATCACCATTCTTGCTGAAGTAACATCCATACCCACTCCAGACAAGCCGCTGAGTGATGGTGTAGGATGTCCACCACAGTGCATTGGATGGGGCATATGTCAAAATTGAAAACCCAAAACCTCTGTAGAGTCCCTTAGGTCCATCTGTCTTGAGGATTCGTCGAAAAGCATCAATCCCATTGAGATATTTACAGGATGCTGGTGCAGCACAAACACGCTGCACCATGAGCCGCTGGCTGACCACATCCACCGGAGTCCAAACCAATTGTGCGGCCACAGCTGCGCTCAATCCAGCAGCAGCACTGGCTAACGCAGTCGCAGTTGGCTCAGGAATGCCGAGCCTAACCGTGGCCGTACCAACACTACTCTTGGTAACCTCAAGAGCAGTCATATAAAGTGCCCTAGCAGGAATTGTACCCATCAACGAAGTCCCAAACCCCCGATACAATCCACGAATTCCTTCAAGCCTAACAACGGATAAGGCAGTTCTAAAACAGGAAAGATGAGCTTGGGCTACCTGTTGTCGAGTCTTCAACACCACAACAGGATAAAGCACAGCTGAAACACCTGAAAATAAGGCGGCGCCGAGGAAGAAAAACTTAGATTTGTCCAGCATTTGCCAGTCTACATCCGCCGGCAACTGGATTTCCTTACCCGATTCCTCCTCCGCTACACCTAAACTCATTTTCCCCAGTTTTCCTGTCTCGGTCTCAATTTTCACAAGATACTTTTATTCCTTCCGGGAAATGTACAGTACAAATCAACGTCTAATCTACTAAATTGAAGCTAGATGGAGAAGGTAAAGATTTTTTTCGCTGGCGAATCCATATTTTGGATCGGAAATGGGTAATAGCAAAAGGACCTAACATTTCTGTAATCGCATCATATGAGAAAGATTCATAATGGTCAACTATACAAATCGTAATAGATCGGAAAACTCACCGGAAAATCTAGGATCTCGGCGGAGATATTCAATCGGAGTGAACTTGCTTGTGCTGTGCTGCTATTTCTTCTTCTTTGTATGAACAATTTTGTTGTAGTATATATTTTTCTGGGAATTTAGAAAAAGTGGAGAGAAGGAGGAGGTGTCAACTTTCAATTGGCAGAGTGGGTAGGGTTATATTCGTCCGAACAAATTGATATTGTTCCAAAACGACGACATCCTGACGTGCCCAACCTTATCCTTTCATCAGTAAAACCGATACGCTGCGTGCACGTATATCACTCTTCCCTGTACCTGCATTTGCCCAATTGTTGGGTCGACTAGCCATCTAATTAGGCCCAATAACACTTTGCGGGTCCCTTTATTAAATGATTTTTTGGTTATACATAAATTTGTATTTGGGATCTTACTATTTTTGAAACAAAAAATAATTAAATGGATTCGATATGATCTACGTAGGTGTTATTCGTATCTTGTAAAGATATTTATATTATCTCTAAAAGATCATCAATTCAAGTGGAGTTGAATAAAATAATAATAAAAAGGAAGAAATGACAATTATTTTTTTAAAAAAAATTGAAGGCATACAAATAATTAGGAATAGTTATATTAACGAAATAGTGCAATGATAATCAAAACATATTTAACAATATATGCTATCAAATAACAAAAATATTACTTTGACAGATATGGTCTCTAGGCTAGCATTAAGCCTAATCCAGTTGAAAAGCAACGTAATATTCAATTACCTATTAATTTTTATCATAATTTGTGATTTAATATTTTCATATTTTTGATAAGTCGAAATTGCTTTATGTCTTGTCTAAGCATATTTCCTGAATAATATTTTGGTCGATCTCTACCTCTTCTTATATTCACTATATCTAACCTCTCACGCCTTTTAAATTGAATATATATTTGTATATGTATTCTTTACATATGTCCGAAACATCTCAATATTCATTTTCTCATCATATTTACTATAGATGTCATTTCAACTTATTTTGAATATCTTCATTCGTAATCTTATCATTCCTAATAGTTGTATGTTCACATGCTATTTCAACATTTTCTTTTACGTGTGATATAATTCACAAAATAAATTAAAAAAATAGACAAGAATATACACATAAATCCTACACTTATTTTATGAAAAAAAAAAAAAAAATTTCAATAAATTCTGAACACAAAATTAGAAGAGTTTATAAAGCAGAATAGTAAGAAAAATAGAACACATTGCAAAAAGAATAAACAGAAATATGGTAAGAAAACAAAAAACAAAATAACTATTTTACAATACTGCAATCGTGCAACTAATAAACGTAATAACCTCAAAAGGAATATCACTTTTTTTCCCCGTAAAAACAGGTCATGCACAAGTATTGCCATGTGAGCGCCGGTGTTATTGCCAAACACGAATACTCGATTTTGATGCCCCTATTTGACTTTGTAAATGACACAATATACTTTCTTCATTTTTAAAAATATATAAAAAAAAATTAAATTTAATAATTATAAATTAAAATTAATAAAAAATTAAAATAAAAATATTATCAAATAAAAAAAAAGATTCATTCTTTTTAAAAGCAGACAAAAAAAAGAATTAATTTTTTTCTTTTTAACGAATGAAATATTACCGTTATAAAATCTACTGATTCAATTAGTATATTTCATCTCTCGCTACAAATGCCTACACATAAAAGTTTGATGTGAATTTGAATGTTGAAGGTGTAAAATATAAATAATTTCATATTACCATAAAAGTTGGGACAAATTGAATTATATTTCATGGGGATATCAATAGTAGTAATAATTTAATCACGTGAAAATGGTAAAGTCATTGTAAGCCACTGGATCTTATGACCTGTACACATGTCGTAATCTTAATGCGATACCTGTTAAGGGCAGAGCATTACCAGATGTATATGTGTATGGCCCCTTATAGACAAAAGGCGCGTCTTCTCAGCTTCACAATCACACAACAATGGCGGCTTCTTGCATGCTTAGATCCTCTTTCCTCTCTCCTGGTCTTCCTCAACTTCATCATCAATCAACTTCAAAACCCAATAATGGTATTCATTTCTTCGCTCCGATTAAAGCTACAGCCACAAACGATGCGATTTCTCAACAGAAGCACCGACGTCCTGCTGACGAGAACATCCGTGAAGAAGCGCGCCGTCACTGCTCATCTCATAATTTTTCAGCCAGGTATGTTCCTTTTAATGCTGGTCCTACTTCTGATGAATGGTATTCTCTAGATGAGATTGTTTATCGGAGTCGGTCTGGTGGATTACTTGATGTTCAGCATGATATGGATGCCTTAAAGAAGTTTGATGGTCAGTATTGGCGATCCTTGTTTGATTCTCGTGTCGGTAAGACCACTTGGCCTTATGGGTCCGGTGTTTGGTCTAAGAAGGAATGGGTTCTGCCTGAAATTGATAGTGATGATATTGTTAGTGCTTTTGAAGGGAACTCGAATCTGTTTTGGGCTGAGCGTTTTGGCAAACAGTTTCTAGGCATGACTGATTTGTGGGTCAAACACTGTGGGATTAGCCATACTGGTAGTTTTAAGGATCTTGGGATGACTGTTTTGGTGAGTCAAGTTAATCGGTTGCGCAAAATGCATAAACCGGTCGTCGGTGTGGGGTGTGCTTCTACTGGAGACACATCTGCGGCCCTGTCGGCTTACTGTGCATCTGCAGGCATTCCATCAATTGTATTTCTACCTGCGAATAAGATTTCTATGGCGCAACTGGTTCAACCTATTGCAAATGGGGCTTTTGTGTTGAGTATTGACACTGATTTTGATGGTTGTATGCAGTTGATTCGTGAAGTTACTGCTGAGTTGCCTATTTACTTGGCAAATTCGTTGAATAGTTTGAGGTTGGAAGGGCAAAAGACGGCAGCAATCGAGATTTTACAGCAGTTTGATTGGGAAGTTCCGGAGTGGGTTATAGTTCCTGGTGGGAACTTAGGCAACATATATGCATTTTATAAAGGTTTTCAGATGTGCAAAGAGTTGGGACTTGTGGATCGCATCCCTAGGCTTGTTTGTGCTCAAGCTGCCAACGCTAATCCGCTCTACTTGCATTACAAATCTGGTTGGAAAGACTTCAAACCTGTGAAGGCGAACACAACATTTGCATCTGCTATACAGATTGGTGACCCAGTGTCTATAGACAGAGCTGTTTTTGCCCTGCAGAACTGCAACGGGATAGTTGAGGAGGCCACCGAGGAGGAGTTGATGGATGCTATGGCTCAGGCAGACTCCACTGGGATGTTCATTTGCCCGCATACTGGTGTGGCATTGACTGCGCTGTTCAAGCTGAGAAACAGTGGAGTCATTGCACCAACTGATAGGACTGTGGTTGTGAGTACAGCTCATGGATTGAAGTTTACTCAATCCAAGATTGATTACCACTCAAAGGAAATAAAAGACATGGAATGTCGGTTTTCTAACCCACCTGTGGAAGTGAAAGCAGATTTTGGATCAGTTATGGATGTTCTGAAGAGCTATTTGTTGAGCCAAAATTCCAAGCTATGATGTGTTGTCAGTTTTAAACATAGTAAGTTTGTAATATGTACTCCTTTTGTCAGCATATGGTCATTTATCGCCATTAATTTGCCGTATAGAAATGACCAGATGGTGATTTTGTTGTTGGCAGAGTTGGGGAGAGAAAGGCTCTACATTACTTTTGAGAGTACTACGAACTCGAGTCCTTTTATGGAACTCTGTTTTTTGTAACAGTCTGCTTTTTGTAGCATTGCTTTGGTGCATCACAATGGAAACTGCCTTAATTTGACCTGTTTTGTTAAATTATATGACCTTAAAGAGAATTCACTTCGGATACTGCAGCTAGAAATTTGTTTCTTATCTGATTAGTATTTCTTGTCTTTTTAATCATGCATATCCTTGTCATGCCTAGAAGGCTCTGATTTGGCTCATTGGGTTATAATGTATTCAACAGTGCGAGTGTGGGACTGTAATATACATTTATCAGTTACCATTGTCTTTGGAACTAATAATCTGGATTAGCTTGCATTTATCTTCTCTTCATCTGTTTTGAGATAACTTATTTAAAGTTTTCACAAACATTTATCAATATGAATTTAGCCAAGACTCGAACAAATGGGAAATAAAGCATCCAATATAGGTGGTGTCAATAAATTGATTTTTTCCTTAGTGACGTGGGTACCTAATTACCTCCTACCAACACAAATGCTGGGCAATCTGCCCACCAAATCTTGTACAGGTAGAAAGAAACCATCTAGTGTGTTTCGCCTCCATTGGAATTTGAACCTGAGGCTTCATGGTTTCCATTCTCCTCCGCTTCATTAACCACTGTGAACGCAATATGCCAAGACCAACTAGTGAAAATTACGTTTTGCTACATTTAGTTCGGTGTTTGTCAAGTGTCTTCTCATTCTGATTAGAGACTTGATTGACCTTGTAGGAAGGTGTATTTGGCTGTTACTATCCCAAAATATAAGTGACATTTAGAGGAACTCTACTTTAAGGGAGCTCCTAATTTGTCTTATGTTTTGGAATGAAATTTACCTTATATTAGCAATATTGATATAGTAGATTAATATAGCATATTTAGGTAGAGTAAATTGATTGGCTTTGTGATGGTTGGACACACTTAGAAGGTAAGTTTGTTTCTTGCTTGGTTATTATTACGCCAAACAATAGAGTCTGGCAAATTGGATATAACAAAATGCAATCTTGAAAAATCTACTATGGAATTCATTTTTAAAGACTAAAACTGAGTTTAGTATTGGTAGTTTGGGGAATGTTGAAGATGCACGTTTCTACCGGTGATGGTTTCTACAAGTCAAACTGTATATTAGTCAATCATATACCAGCTATTTAACGCGTTGTTACAGTGTTATTTTGATCCTTATGAACAACTCAAGACCTATTTACCTTTCCATTCTATATTCAGTTCAGAACTTCAGATTATGGTGGACTAATGGTATGATTGGTCTAACCATAACATCTGAATACTTCATGTTCAATTTTCTGAAAATTGCAATTTACAACAGCTTGGATGAAGAATGTGTGTGTGCTTGATGAAATTTTAGGGTTAAACGCACGCTGGAGTATAGACTGAAAGTGCTGGCTGACAAAGAATGAGATCAGGTGAAGGGTAAACGTCCAAATCCCAGCTTGCATGACTTTTTGTGTGAGTAAAACAAAGCTGGTGTTCTCACTTCAATACTACAGACCTTGCATTTTTGTCCTACAATCTTCAGTTTCTAATGGGGTGAGGCGCTGAATGATTTGCATCTCATTCTGGAAGCTTGAAATAACTTGAAGAACAGCAGTACTTTAAGGTATCAGATTTTTTCTCTTAATCTAATCGCATAGCTTCTAGAATGTTACATCTGTTCTTCATTGGGTACCTGCTACCTCCTAGTAACACAGTTAATCGTGTCTTGAATAGATGGAAATCGGCCTTACTGAGATTTATGGTTTCCGTTCTACCTGATTGATCAAGAAATTCCATTTTGGGGTCCTATTAAATTCAAATTAGCGCATTGTAGAGCTTATTTTTTTGGGATGATACTCTAAATAAGATTTTTTTTTTTTACCATTCTCAAATGCTTGAATTCGAAACCTCTAATTTCAAACACAAGTCACGACCAGTAGTAGTAGCATGAGTATATATATACCTATTGACGTCATAGTTCATCTCGTGACTTAGAATATCAATTAAGGAGTCTAAATCAAATCTATTTCCGTGATTGTCAAAGTCCCAAAACTTGAAAATTATCTTCAAACTTTGTTTGCAAGGATTGAATATTGACTTCCTTTATTACAATTTATGCAATATTCTTTTGCATGATTAGCTTCAAATTAACTCTCAATAAACAACAGGAAGAAATAACAATACATAAATTGAGGCAATATAAATGTATAACTCATGTATTGAATGATGACTTAATAATGAGAATGGCCACTTGACTGCACAAAAAACCAGAGCCCGTGACACCCCACACTTTTGCCATAAAAGTAAATCCAATGAACTTTCACGGATTTCCATTTCTTACACTATCCACACCCATAACCAATCACACAACACACATTAAATTCCTATCTATCTAATTATAACTATATAAACCCTCTATTTCATTCACTTTCATACACACACATTATTGAGACAAAGAAATAGAGATGGAGCATTATAACTTTGCCCAAAAGATCATGACATTGGCTTTGTTTGCCATAGTGTTAAGTAGTGTTAATATAGAGGTGGTGCGGGCACAAGGAATATGCAACGTGTCTGGTGAAGGATTAATGTCATGCAGACCATCAATCACGCCACCTTATCCGACAGCACCTACAGCACAGTGCTGTAACGCGCTGTCTCGTGCAGACATGGCCTGCCTTTGCTCTTACAAAAATTCCCAGTTATTGCCTTCTCTTGGAATCGATCCTAACCTCGCAATTCAGCTCCCTCAGAAATGCAGACTACCTAATCCTCCCCGTTGCTAAATTAAAGATGAGTAATTAAAAGTTGAAAGCGTTTGTTACTTGAATAAGCCTCGTTATGAAAATTGACGCTTTCTAAGCTCTCACTTTCCTATACTTGTATCACCGTGTGTTATGTGTACTTCGAGCTTTATTGTTTTTACTTAATAATTCAGTGGTTTGTTATTGTTTTTCCTTTCTTTTTCTTTGAGTGCGTTCCAATTTTATAATGTCACTCTCTCTAATTCATATTAACTGAATTGTTTGAATACAACTAGTCTAAGCTTGAGTAACGAACAAGTACAAGTAGCACCTGAGTCGTGTTATGCACTGT